CTCCTGCACCACAACCCAAGACAGCAGGTACCACTGGTCTGAACTCCCCGAGCAAAGCTGTGCTCCTCTTCTGGCATTTCATAGATTAAACTTCAGAAACAGCTTTCCACCCTTGCACTCTTAAAAAAAATCTTTCTAAATCTTACTAATTCTTTCTTACTAAAGCTTTTCAAAAAAGTCAGCTCTATAAGCTTACTAATTTTTTAATCTCACAGAATGCTGCATATGTGGTAGGCTCTGGTCCTAAAGTCAGCTACTGCCTCACTCCCTCTAGGCCATCAATATGTATATTCGTGTTCAAGGAGGAAGCTCTCTTACACACATTCCGTTTTCCACCACAGAGGAAATCAGACAGCATGTCAAAAGGCAGGCACAGCCTATGAAACTGTGTCATATAATGCAATGTAAGTAATAAAAATAAATAAATAAATACTTTTCAAAAAAGGGGGGGCAGGCACATTTTTGCTCCACAGATTCTGAGACTTATCTCAAAGCATATTAATTAGCCTGATCTTTGATGTGACGCGGAGTCACTTCTCCAATGCTATCCTGCTCTGCCCCAGGTCTGGTAATTGCTCCCTGTACATCCTGACCACTGTCTCCTTTACCTATCGCTTCCCTTGCCCAGAAAGCCAGGCATCCTCAGCTGAGGCTAGCTTCTCATTTCCTATCCTGGGCTCTCAAGTCCCTGACTGAGGAAGCCAGATGCTAGGAATCAAGGGTCATGGAGGCGCAAACATCTGCTTGAATTGGCCTGGGCTGGAAAAACCTCCAGCGCCCTCTGAAGGACAATCCTTCAGCACAATCTGCTCCTCATTCCCCAATGTCTTACCTCCACAGAGATGCCTCGGGCACTGGGACCCATTGTGACTGTGCCCACTTTCACAAGGAAGTCACAGTACTGGTAACGAGTGCCCCGGGTCTCAATCTTGCTGGCCTTGGCACTCTGGAAAAAGCCCTTGAGCTTCACCATGAGCACATCAAAGTTGGTGTCGGCAATAAGGCAAGGGCCATTCTCAAAGAGGGCGAAACAGCTCAGCGGGTACTCCGAGTTATGCATGACATACATCAGCTTCCCGGACTGACCTGCAAGGGACAGAGACCTCCTCAACACCCACCTTCACTGGCAGGCCAGGGAATGGGATTCAATGCATGCAGCAAGGCCAGTGGACAACTGAGGACTATTTCATCAGTCCTGAAAAGGCATGGGGTAGAGGAGGGTGGGCTTAGGGAGTACTTCACTATGAGGATTAGTAACTCTCACAGGGGAAAAAATCACATAAAATGTCCATAAGCTCTTTTGCATGAGAGGGTACTTCACAAAGCTCATAGAAAATGCAATTAACAATGAAGACTGGAAGCCACTGTTGGGGTACATTAGGTAAGCCACCTCTTACAATACCGCATCCACCCTGGAGAACTGATTTGAGCCCCAACTACTCCATTTTTGATTCACCTTCCTGCCAGTGTACTTGGGAAAGCATCAGGAAATGGCTCACCCATTCTGCCACCCAGAATGGAGTTCCCAGACCTGGCTGTTAGAGAAATATACTAGCTGATTAGAGATCTTGGTTGTTCTTTCAAATAATTTTTTAAAATTACTTATTTGACAAGTATAGGTACAGACAGAGAGAAAGGTCTCCCACCCACCAGTTAGCTACAATGACCAGGGATGGGCCAGACTGAAGCCAGGAGATGGGAACCTTCTCCAGGTTTCCCACATTGGTTCAGGGGCCCAGCCAGTTGGGACATCCTTTGCTGCTTTTTCAGGAGCATTAGCAAGGAGCTGATCTGGAAGTGGAGCAGTCAGGACTCAGACCAACATCCATAGGGGATACCAGTATCACCTGGTGACTTTACCAAAAGCCAGCGCCAAAGCTATTTTTTTTTTAGTCTAATCCAGTACAAAACAATTTTGTTAAATCCATGTATGCTTTTTTCATAATACATTCTTTTTTTTTTAAAGATTTATTTATTTATTGGAAAGTCAGATATACAGAGAGGAGGAGAGACAGAGAGGAAGATCTTCCGTCCGGTGATTCATTCCCCAAGTGAGCGCAATGGCTGATGCTATGCCGATCCAAAGCCAGGATCCAAGAACTTCTTCCAGGTCTCCCACATGGGTGCAGGGTCCCAAGGCTTTGGGCTGTTCTTGACTGCTTTCCCAGGCCACAAGCAGGGAGCTGGATGGGAAGTGGAGCTACCGGGATTAGAACTGGCGCCCATATGGGATCCCGGCGCGTTCAAGGCGAGGACTTTAGCTGCTAGGCCACGCCGCCAGGCCCTCATAATACATTCTTAAAATTCTTTATATGCATGTCTAGACTTATTAAGGTTATTCATTAAGGACGAGTGCAATAGCCTAGTGGCTAAATTCTCTCCTTGCTTGCTCCGGGGTCACATATGGGCACCAGTACATGTCCTGGCTGCTCCACTTCCCTTCCAGCTCCCTGCCTGTGGCCTAGGAAAGCAATCAAGGACAGCCCAAAGCCATGGGACCCTGTACCTGTGTGGGAGTATATGCATGACACATATCCAAAGCCAGGATCAGTTTAGCTCCAGCAGTTGCAGCCACTTGGCGCGTGAACCAACAGAAGGAAGAGCTTTCTCTCTGTAAATCTGACCTTCCAATAAAAAGAAATAAATCTTAAAAAAAAAAAAAAAGAAAAATTATGGGCCCGGCGCCATAGCGTAGTGGTTGAAATCATCACCTTGCATGCCTGGGATCCCATGTGGGCGCCAGTTCTAATCCCAGCAGCTCCACTTCCCATCCAGCTCCCTGCTTATGGCATTGGAAAGCAGCCAAGGACAGTCCAAAGCCTTGGGACCCTGCACTCACGTGGGAGATGCAGAAGAAGCTCCTGGGCTCCTGCCTTCGGATTGGCTCAGCTCTAGCCAATGTGGCCACTTGGGGAGTGAACTAACGGATGGAAGATCTTCCTCTCTGTCTTGCCTTCTCTCTGTAAATCTGACTTTCCAATAGAAATAAACAAACCTTAAAAAAAAGAAAGAAAAGACCAAGAACTAATGAATTCAAATTCAGAAAGACATCTTGCATGTGTTCAAGAATGCACTACAGCAGTCGCATTTCAACGAACATTCACCACCACGAATTCCGAGGAACGCTCCAGCGGTCCTACACACCCATCTCACTGACCTTGGTTTCCGAGGGTAGAGGTAGCTGTGTGGTAAGTCTCACAGTCCACACAGAATGTTCCTTGCTTCTCTGCCCCAAGCATCTCCAACTTGCGGGTGAGGAGCTCCACTGTCTGCTGGACGCTCTTGCCCTCAGCCACGGGCATCTGAGACACACTGGGAAGGAGAGTGCCGCATCGTCAAATTGCTCAGACACACACATTCGCAGAGCTGCTCCAGCCCCAGGATGCAGGCTCAGCAGGGCCAGGGGTCTCAGAGATGACTTAGCCTAACCCCTTGCTCCCATTTAAAGAGGCAGAAGAAAGCCTGCAGCCCTGCCATCTCCCCAACAGCTGAGCACGGGTCTGAGCACTTACACATCAGCACTTCCCAATCATCACAGGAGTACCCACACACAAGAGAAGATTCCAGGTGGTACAGCCTGGACATTCAACAACACTGAGCTGTGCAATGAGAAATGGAATCCTTTTGCCATTCTTTCCATTTTGACTGTGTCAAGAAGACTCTGGGGTTCATGGGTTTTCACCAACTCTTTGAACTTGAGCTATCAAGTACAGCAGCTGAAGCTACATGGGGTGGGGTTGGTGTTCTAGACAGTGCTGACAGAGAACACTCCCATTGCTACACAAGGTCCTGGTTGACAGAAATAAAAAGGGGAAGGAGAAAGAGAAAGCAGCTTCAAGATTATAACTCTGGAGACTAAGAGATGCTAGTATTTGCAAGAGTTTAATTTCCTCTTTAAAAAAAGATTTATTGATTTGTACTGGAAAGGCAGATTTACAGAGAGAAGGAGAGACAAAAAGATCTTGCATCTGCTGGCTCACCCCAAATGGTCACAATAGCCAGAGCTGAGCTAATCCAAAACCAGGAGCTTCTTCCAGGTCTCCCACACTAGTGCAGGGTGCCAAGGCTTTGGGCCGTCCCCAAGTACCTTTCCAGGCTCAGGCAGGGAGCTGAAAGGGCAGTGGAGCAGCTGGGACACAAACTAGTGCCCTTATGGGATTCCAGCACTCAAAGGAGGAAGATGAACCAACGGAGCCATTGCACCAGGCCCTATTTTGTTCCTAAGGTGAGAAAAACTGGCTACTCCCTCTGGTAAGAACTACCAAGCACCAACTGTATGCCAGGCAGTTTACGGTCTTAAGCAAGCCAACTCTGAAACCTCACACTAGTCCTATGAGAGCGCTTCTGTCAGCTTGATTTAAAAAATAAAATGAGGACTCTGAAATATAAACAGGTTAAATAACTTACACAAGGCACACAGCCAGGACACAAGGGCACTGACATACACACACACCCCACCGCGATGCCACAGGACCTCTCTCCCACCTGCGCCAACCCCACTGGCCGAAGGGTTCTAGTCTGCAAACTCGCCCCATGTCGCACCCTCAAGTCCCACTTTCGGCAGTCCCTGCACTTCAGCCACAGTAAGTTATGCAAAGAAAAAGAGAAGGCACACAACCCATGACATCATGGTCCCGGGGTCAAACCGTCTCCTTGCTGCTTCCCAGGGTGAATGGGGCGCAGGACGCCCCGAGAGTCCCCTGGTCCGCACAGCCCCAGCACGCCGGGGGACGGCGGACTTCTCCCCGAACCTCTCCAAGCTCTAGCGGCCCCTTTTCGCCCCCCAAGTCCCGTCCTACCAAGTCACGCCCATGTCGCACGACCAGGACGCTGGTACGAAGTCCGGAACTCGCCCGCCGCTCCCAGAATTAAAGACCCTCACACAGACTAGCAGGGCAGCGGGAAGAACACCGGAAATGCGTCAGAACGACGCGCCAAAGGCAACTCTCGGGGACGTCATCCGCCAGGTTCCCACACCACCCCAGTGGCAGCCCCAGGGCTATCAGTTCCGGAAGCTCCCGTTTGATTGGGGCACCCCGGGCCTAGATCCCGAAAACCGGGCGGGCGTGGCTCGCGCGGCCACCAATTCAAGACGTCAGCGTCCAAGACCTGGGGTTTGTTCCGGCTCCGGAACTCTGGGGAGGGCGGTGTTGGCGGCTCTGCCGGCCTCCCAACGCGCGGGGGCGCTGTGGGCGCGGCGTGGCCTCACGGGAACTGGGCGTTCCTTTACCAAGCGCCTTCTGGGCTTCTGTCCTTACCCACGTGTGTGTGTTATCCCGGCAAGATTTTTCGAACAAAATGCCCAAACTCAAAGCAGCCCGTGGGGCCGGGGCTTCGGAGAAACATGCGCCTCTGGCCGAGCAGATCCTGGCGGGGAACGCGGTGCGCGCCGGCACGCGGGAGAAGCGGCGGGGCCGCGGAACCGTGGACGAGGAGGAAGAGTATGTGGGGCCCCGGCTGAGCCGACGGATCCTACAGCAAGCCCGGCAGCAGCAAGAGGAGCTGGAGACCGAGCACGGCACCGGGGACCGGCTCGACAAGCCTCGCGAGCGCGCCACGCGGCTCGGTGAGAGTCGGCGGGAGAGGCGGGGGTGGGTTCGGAGGGAGGCAGCCGGGCGGGATGTACCCCGGAATCCCAAACCGGGTCCACATTACACTGCTGCGAGAGTATTGGGAGTGGAAAACGAGCCCTTCAGGCCCACTCCCGGCGTTTAGCACTCGCTTCTAGGCGGTCCCCAAAGTCCCCTAGGAAGTGGGCACTCGGGCGATTATCCATCGGTTTTTGTAAACATTTTGGGGTTGCCTGCTGCCGACTTTGCACCGGCTTTAGATGGTTCGAGTACAGAAATAGCTCAGTTTCGCTGGAGTCGACAGCGTTGGTTTAGAGATCAGGTAACCTTTGAAAGCTGAGACCTGAAAAACGAATGTTCCTAACAGGAAGAGCAATGTTGTTGAGGCGCCAAAGGAAGAGTGGGATGAATTGAAATATTTCCAGTATTTTCTGGTAGGGCAAAAATGTTGGTCTGAGTTGTTTAGTCTATTTCACAGCGCTTACCTTAGTCGTACTAAAAACAGTATATGACACAGCTAAAAGTTGGTCTTCTGGCTACAATGTCTCTTATTTTCCTTTATCTGAAAGGCAGAAAACTGCTGCCGCGCATGTACTTCCTAAATGCCTGCAAGACCAAAGCCTGAAACTCAGTGCCAGTCTTCCAAGTGGGTGGCAGGGACACAAGCTGCTGCCTCACAGGGTCTGTGTTAGCAGGAGACCTGAACCCTTGCAAGTGGAACCAGGACTTGAACCCAAGCATTCAGATATTGGATATGGGCATTCTAAGCAGCTCCTTTAAAAAGAAAACAAAGTATTTATTTGAGGGGGAGAGATAGAGGTCCTTCATTTGCTGGTTCACCCCACAAATGGCTCTATGGCTGTTACAGAAATTGGGGACTGGGCCAATGAGTGGGAGAGCTGCTCTACTACCTCCCACTCCTGCCTCTTGGTCTTCCTCAGTGGCCTCCCCCATCTGCCTTTATAATAAGTAAACAAACCACAATTCCCTATTTTAGTGCCATCCAAGTGTCATGATTCAAATACTGTCTGGTGATTATTCCCCCAACTTTATGCTAGCCCAGATCTCTTCCATGAAACTCAATATTTTTTTATCTATTTATTTGAAAGTCAGAGTTAGAGAGAGGTACTCTATGTACTGATTGGCTGCCTAGGTGACCATGTTGTGCAGAACTGGGCCAGGCCAGAGCCAGGAGCTTCATCCAGGTCTCCCAAACATTTAAACTGTCTCCCGCTGCTTTTCCCAGGGAGCTGGATCAAGAGTAGAACAGCCAGAACTCAAGTCAGCACTGCAGACAACAGCTTTACCCATAAGCATGGAGCAGCCAGCCAGGACACAAACCAGTGCAACGTGGGATGATGGCACTTGCAGGCAGAGAGTTAGCCAGTTGAGCCATTGTGTCCACCCCAATCTTAAAAAGAGAGACTTGAAAAAGAAAGAGAGCTCTGTCCGCTGGTTCACTCCCCAGATGCCTGCAGGCCAACTCCAGGAAGCCAGAACTCTGTGACTTCCACTTAGGTGACAGAGACCCAATGACCTGAGCCGCCGCCTGCTGCCCTCCAGGGTACACATTAGCAAGAAAGTGGGGTTTGATCTGCAGTCTGATTTGGAATGCCGGTGTCCCAGGGTATCCACTGTACTACAATGCATTCATTCCCTCTCCCCAAATTAGCCCTTACCATTGTTCTTAATAACCTGTTCAAATGTAGCATTTTCCTTCTGAATGTGCAGCCAGCTGTAGGCTTCAACTATTCAAATGGTGGTCGGTTGAAATGTGACATCCACTGCTGACTTTCAGGGTCCTCCAGCCTGACTTCACCTTTCCCACCCAGGCCTATCAGACACTCAGAACCAAGCCCTTCCTCCAGGATCCCCGGCTCATTTGAACCCACAGCTTCTGCTCCCAAACTGCCTGGCTGCCATGCCAGTGCCTTTAGTCTCAGCCACTCTGTGGTATAAACTCCAACACTGCCACTAGGGGGTGGTAGTGATGACTAAGGTACAGCCCAGACCCCTTCGACTGCTACTATCAGGCTTCACTGCCCAGCATCAGGGTCTTCAGCTGCAGCTGCACACAGCTGCTTCTGGGGGCTCCGAAGGCTGTGCAGTCAGTATCTTTGGAGAGAAGGTCTAGGACAGCTGGCTGCTGCAGAACAGAGCGTGCTGTGGTGATTGTTCTGAATGGGCATCGGTGGCTCTTTGTCTCATTTTACATTCTGTTTCTCTTGGGAGATTGCAAGCTCCTGGGGACAGAAAGACTATGTGTCACCTGTTCTACTGCATGCAATTATGTCCATTACAGATAGAGGTAGCCTGTGTTCCATAATGGTTAAAGTAAAGCCAAGCCTGTATTCCGTAATGGTTAAAGTAAAGCCAAGCCCCCCACCCATGGGTAGGCATGTGGTGCAGCAGATTAAGCCACCACTGAGGATGCTGCATCCCATACTGAAGTGCATGGGATCGGCTCCTACCTCTGCTGCCCTCCAGCTTCCTGTTAACACACCTGGGAAGGCAGTGGAGGATGGCCCAAGAACTGGGGTCCCTGTGTCCCATATGGGAAACACAGGATGGAATACCTGGCTCCTGGCTTTGACCTGGCCAGCCCTGGAATTACAGGCATTTGGACAATAAACCAGCAGATGTAAGTTCTCTCTTTCTCTTGCTTTGTCTTTCAAATAAATAAGAATAAGCATTTGTTTTTTCATTCACCTGCTTGTTCCCTTGCTCATCGATTTATTCCATTCATCTCCCCTCTTCTAGGCCCTGGCCTGCCCCAGGATGGGTCAGAGGATGAGGATGAAGAGTGGCCCACCCTGGAGAAGGCGGCCACGATGACAGGGGTGAACCCCCATGCAGAGGTGGTTGTAGACCCTGAAGACGAGCGAGCCATTGAGATGTTCATGAACAAGAACCCTCCTGCCAGGTAGGACTGGGCACTCAGGTACCAGGATCTGGTAGAAAAGTTTCCCGAGAGAAACAAGTGCCCTGGCTGTCCCCCACTTTTGGAGAAGGTTTCAGTCTTTCTGGTTGTTGGGGGCACCTGGACAGGGCTGGCCCAGATTGAAAATGCCTCTTCCCCTTTCAGCCAGTTTTTGGAACTGCCCAGAATACCCAAGGAAACAGAAGCCCTTTGGGTGCCTGGGGAGGTTCATCCCATTGCATCTGGTCTCGATGCACTGAGCTCTAGTGGTGAAAGCAGAGTCCCTTTCATATGCTGAGCTTCGTTTGCCCCAGGCTCTTCTGCCTGGGCACCTTTGGTATCTTGGCCGGGGTGCTTCTTTGTCTCTGGAAGCTGTCTTGTACATTGATGGCTGTTCACCAGGTAACTCTGACCTCTACCTCGCAGGTACCGGATGCCTGTTGTGGTATCCAAAAAAATGACTCCATGTGTCGTCACGTTAACTCTGGTTAACAGAATCCATCCCTGCTGCTCTGTGGAAAACCATTAATTTATTTTCATCAATGATAAATGGCAGCTCCCAAACATGTAGGCAGGTCTTCAGGCTGCCTGTCCTCCGATTCCTGAGCCATAGGTCTTACCCTGGGAAGGGTGAATAGCATCAGAGCCCTCACCTGGTTCATTCTGATCCTGTGGTATTAACATGTTGTTATCCATGGTTGTTTAGGACATGTGGAGTTAATGTATGGCATTGTCGATTATATTGTAAGAAGAAGAGAAAGCTGAATGACGTTTAAGAGCTCAGAAAGAAGAAGTGCACGCATCTCAAAGGATGTCCCTGGGTGATGTGCTCATCCCCCAAGAGAGCCTTACCCCTCTAACTTCTGAGAGAAATTTTTTGAAGATTTATTGATTTTCAGTAGAAAGGCAGCTTCACAGAAAGAAGGAGAGACAGAGAGAAATATCTTCCGTCTGCTGATTCACTCCCCAAGTGGCTACAGCCGATGGAGCTGAGCCGATCCAAAGCCAGAAGCTTCTTTCAGGTCTCCCATATGGGATCCTGGTACTTGGAAGTAGAATAGCCAATTAAGCCATTGTGTCAGACCCTCATGGAGAATTCTTTTATATAGATTTTTATTTATTTACCATCTGTGGTATTTGAAAGGCAGAACTAGAGAACTGCTAGTTTCAGTCTCCGAATGCCCACAGTAGTCAGAGCTGGGCCAGTGGGGAGCCAGAAGCCCGACACTCCATCTGGGTCCCCTGAATGGATGGCAGGGACCTATGTGCTTGAGACACTACCTGCCGCCTCCCAGGAGCATTAACAGGAAACTAAATCAGAAGTAAAGGAGCCAGGACTCAGCCCAAGGCACTGATACAGAATATGGGCATCACAAGGGGGTTTCACTGCTGTTCCAAATGCCTGCCCTACACAGAAAGTTCTGGTGAGCTTAGCAGAAAGTGTTTCCAGCCTGTGTTCTATAGAAGGGACAGATTATTAGAAATGAGACTCATGGCAGTCGTGAGGAATGAAGCCTGGATCCAGTGCAGGTTAAACTACCACCTATGATGCTGGCATCCTCTGTGGGTGCAGGTTCAAATCCTGGCTGCTCTGCTTTCAATCCAGCTCTCTGCTAATGCACCTGGGAGAGCAATGGAGGATGGCCCAGGTGCTTGGGTCACTACCACCCATGTGGAAGACTTGGCTGGGGTTCCAGGTTCCTGATTTTGGTCTGGCCCAGACCTGACTGTTGCTGCCATTTGGGGAGCAAACCAGCAGACAGAAGAACAGTCTCTCTCCCTCCTTACCTCCCTTCCTCTTTAACTACCTTTCCAGTAAATAAATCTTCAAAAAAAGAAAGAAAGAAAGAAATAGGCCTAGGCACAAGCCTTTGGCCTACTGGTTAAGACCTCTAGCCCACATCCTCGACTGTAGCTTCCTGTGGTCAGTGTGGAATCTGGCAGTCAGCACATGATGGCTTAAGAAGTTGGGTCCCTCATCGACTGCCTCATCAGAGGATGGAAAGCAGAACAGGTTGGACACTTCTGGCCAGGTTAGCAGCATAACATGTCCCTGGGTCTGTGGATACACTAAAGTGGACTTGGTCAGCCAATAGACCTTGGAAAGATTTTTTTGAACCTTGAAGCAATGAAACCAACAACTTCTCAGAACTATCAAAACCTTTCAAGTACTCTTTTCTACATCAGGGTCTCTGAGATGTCAGAGGATCATCACCCATTCCCAGATGCTAATGAAGTTTGACAGCAAGGAGCAGCCCTTGTTCCCTGCTGCCATGTGGACACAGGAGAAAAATAAATCTTAAAACTTTGTCCCACTCACCTTCCTCCAAACCTTACCCTCCTCATCCTGATCAGAGGCCCACATGGGCATGCATCCCTCTCAGCTATTAAAAAAATGAAAATTAAAAAAAAAAAAGTTGAGTCTAGGCTAACTTGTGAAAGACCTAGGTTGAGTTTCCAGCACCTAGGTTTGCTCTGTCCCAGTCCAGGCCAGGATAGTCATTTGAAGATTAAATCAGCAGAGAGCATAGTCTTTTCCAAGCGTCAGGATCCCATATGGGATTAAAAAATAAACATCAATGGGATTTTAAAGATTGATTTTTATTTGAAAGGCAAAGCTATAGAGAGAGCGATCTTGCATCTGCTGGTTCACCCCAAATGGCTGAATGGCCAGAGCTGAGGCTGAGGTGAAGCCAGGAGCCAAGAACTTCCTCCGAGTCTCCTTTGTGGGTACAGAAGCCAAAGGATTTGAGCCATCTGCTTTCCTAGGCCATAAGCAGGTTGCCGAATTGGAAGTGGAACAGCCAGGACACGGACTGGTACATAGATGTCAGTGCTGCAGGCTGAGACTTAGCTTGCTACTCCACAGTGCTGGCCCTGGATCAGTGGAATTGTAAAAAGTTAACTTCTTCAAAGAAGTAAGCCTATGGCCCAGCATGGTGGCCTAGTGGCTAAAGTCCTTGCCTTAAACACACCAGGATCTCATATGGGTGCCGGTTCTAATCCTGGCAGCCCCACTTTCCATCTAACTCCCTGCTTGTGGCCTGGGAAAGCAGTCAAGGATGGCCCAAAGCCTTGGGATCCTGCACCCATGTGGAATACCTGGAAGAAATTCCTGGCTCCTGTCTTTGGATTGGCTCAGCTCTGGCCCTTGCAGCTACGTGGGGAATGAATCAACAGACGGAAGCTCTTCCTCTCTTGTCTCCTCCTTTCTATATACCTGACTTTGCAATAAAATTTTAAAAATAAAACTTTAAAAAAAAATAAGTACTAGGCCTAAACCCGCAGGAAGACAGCAGTGACTTAGCGTTACAGGATACTATAAAGCACCTGCATTTTAGAACGTGAACAACCCAGGGTGGACAGATGTGAGGGCTCAGGTGAGATGTGGACCCCCTGGGCCTGTGTTCTCATAAGGAAAAGAAACACAGGTGTTGTACAGTGTGACTTAACTTCAAGTATCCCAAGCCCAGGGCCTGGCGTGGAGGAGGTCCTCCAAAAACAGGAGCAGCAACAGCAGCCTCTGAAGGCACCTGCATCTCCCCGCAGCCCCAGGGAACGAAGTACTGAATCAGAGTGTCACGGGGTGCGAGCGAGATCATACCAGACATGTCTAAGGTTTATTGAGGAGTCTTTATTAACCAAGCTTGGTGGATAATACAGCATACTAGAAATAGTAAATCACAAGTCCGTATGGCAATCCAACCAATCATAATCCAACCAAACATAATCCAAAAGAGGAACAAATGGTCATTACCCTTAAGTCTATCCGTTAAGTTGAAGACCCATGTCCTAGCTTCCCCAATAGTATAAGTTATCCTAAGAGACATGCAACTAATAACCTGGACATACTTATAAAGCTGCAGACATTCACCTTTCCCTGGCTTCTCTGCCCACATTCCGTCACTGCTGGCCCTCACCTTTCCTGGAACTCCTGATAGTGTACAAACCAGAAACAACATTACTTTATCCATTGTCCTATCTAAGTAGTATACAGGGACCATGATTGCTCCGACCAGCAGAGCCAGTAATGTGGACAGGGAGGGTCTGGGGATGAAGCACCAACAGGAGACAGTGATGGTAGAAGTCTGTGAAGTTTCACTTTATTGCTCCTTCACCTCTCCTTATATACTCTTCCCCCCACATCCTAATTTAGCCAGGATATTGGGTACAGATGAATCCAATTAGTCTAGGTGTTTTTAGCCACAAGCCCAATTCCTCTTCCTGTCCAATTCAACCAGTGCTTATCAACTCTTTAGCCCATTGTCAATGGGTGCTGGCTATCCCTGGCTGCACCCCGTAACAAGAGAAAGCAGAGTGTATCTGATGGAGACGATGCGGCAGCTGTTAATGTGGAGAAGTTCCATGTGGGAAAGTTTGTGCCTCCCTCCCCAAAGACCCCAGCCATGTGGAGCCTGGTAGGCGACACCACTGTCCACTGATGATGATGAACTCGGGTCGCACCATAAGCAGCATGCACCCATCAAGCCAACTTAATCCCACTCTGACCTAATCAGGCTGATGCCTGGAGAAGTAAAGCCACACACCCAAGGTCACACAGGGAGTGGACGTGCCAGGATTCAAACCTGTCTGACTGGCTTTCAACCCACCCCGTGCCCCATCTGGAGCTGCCAGCCTTGTCCTTATTGGGATGACTCTTGAGTTCCTTTGCTTTTTGCCACGAGTTCTGTGGCAAATGGGCAGGTGCAGAGAATGCATGTCCAACGGGATCAGTTTGTTGGTGCTCACGGGGACTGTGGCAGTATCTGGAGCTCCCCTCCTTTCTCTGTCTCCCCCTTCCTTCCTCTTCAGGCGCACCCTGGCTGACATCATCATGGAGAAGCTGACTGAGAAGCAGACAGAGGTCGAGACAGTCATGTCAGAGGTGTCAGGCTTCCCAATGCCCCAGCTGGACCCCCGGGTGCTGGAGGTCTACAGAGGCGTCCGGGAGGTAACACTGGGTACCTTCGTGGGTGCAGTGGGCTCTTCCCTCAGGCTTTGCAACAGACATCCACACCTGGCGGGAGAGTAGGGGTCCTGCTCCCACCTGTTAGTGGGATGGGCTGGGGTCAGCTGCCTTAGGTCAACACTATGGTTGGTTGAAGAGCCCCTCCTTGCGGGCTTGCTGTGAAGAGTGAGTGTGTCAGGGCTGGAGAGCACCTGCCCAAGCACTGGATGTGTTGATGTTGATGTCACTGTACCCCTCCTCCCAGGTGCTGTCCAAGTACCGCAGCGGGAAACTGCCCAAGGCGTTTAAGATTATCCCTGCCCTCTCCAATTGGGAACAGATCCTGTATGTCACGGAGCCAGAGGCCTGGACTGCGGCTGCCATGTACCAAGCCACCAGGTGGAGTAGCTCTGCGGTAGGGTGGTCTCAGATCTGTAGATGTGGTTGGGCCAGGGACATGCAGGCTCTAATCCAGGCTATACTCATTAACAATCTCACATTGGGGTTTGTGGCCAAAGTGTTGGCTTAATTGCCTAATGCTCCACCTCCAAGCACTGGGATCCCATATGAATACCAGTTTGTGATCTGGCTGCTCAATTTCCCATCCACCTCCCTGCTTATGGTCTATGAAAGCAGCAAGGGATAGCCCAAGGCCCTCTGCAGCCCCAGGAAAGACCCAGAAGAGCCTCCTGGCTCTGGACTGGCCGAGCTCTGGCTGTTGCAGCCACTTGGGGAGTTAACTAGAGTTACAGTGGTTCATTCCCTAAATGGCCGCAGTGGTCAGAACCAGGTGCCTGCAACATCTGGGTCTTCCATTTGGATGCAGGAGTCCAAGAGGTCTGAGCATTTGGGCTATTCCCTACTACTTTTCCAGGTGCATTAGCAGGGAGCTGGATTAGAAGTGGAGCAGCAAGGACATGAACCAGCATCCTTATGGTGATGCAGGTACCGCAAGAAGAAGCTTAACCTACTAGACTGGTACTGGCCCTTTTTTGTTTATTTTTAAAGATTTATTACTTTATTTGAAAGGTAGAGTTGGAGATCTTTAGTCTGCTGGCTTGCTCTCAAAGCAGCTGTAGTAGCCAGGGTTGGGCTAGGCAAGGCCAAGGTCGGGAGCCTTCCTCTATTTGGGTCCCAGCATAGGTGACAGAGCCCAAACACTTGAGTCATCCTCCGCTTTCCCAGACACAATAGCAGGGAGTGGAAACACAAGTGCAGTCCAGATTGGCCCTGACATGAGATGCCCAGTGTTGCTGGCAGCAGCTTAACCCCGCTGTACCATAATGGCAGCCTCCGCACGGTATCATTTAAAAGGGCCAAATCCATACTGTCATGTGACTTGTGGACTTCCCCTGCCCCTAATAGGATTTTTGCTTCTAACCTGAAAGAACGCATGGCCCAGCGCTTCTACAACCTCGTTCTGCTACCCCGGGTTCGAGATGACATTGCTGAATACAAGCGACTCAACTTCCACCTCTACATGGCACTCAAGAAGGCCCTGTTCAAGCCTGGAGCCTGGTTCAAAGGTGGGAACCTGGAGGCAAGGGAGAAGGGTGTGACTAGAGCTTCTGCTGGTGAAGGCAGACCTTGACCTCACCTGAGAAATGAAATGTCTCTCAGGCCAAGGTCAATGCTGGTCCTTGGGGCAGGTGGAGGTGTTTTCTTCTCACCCTGGACTGAGTGACTGTGTTGTACCTCTCTCCAGGCATCCTGATCCCACTGTGTGAGTCAGGCACTTGTACCCTCCGGGAAGCCATCATCGTGGGCAGCATCATCACTAAGTGCTCCATCCCTGTGCTGCACTCCAGGTAGCTTAGTGGGGGTTGGCAGGGGAGGGAGTGCAACAGCTGCTGGCTCGTGGTTTGTTGGAACACTGGGAATGTCCTTGCTGCACGAGAACAGGATCCCCAGTGCCTGGCATGTAGCACATGCTCAGTAAACAGTTGAGTGAATGGGCCACATGGGAACGGTGTAAGGGGGAGAAGGGAGTGTGTGAAAGGTTGGACCATCTAGGTGGGTACTGGAAGAGTAGAAGTGGAGAAGGCTGGACAAGTGAGGAGGCCTGAGGTGGCCCCTTGGGGAATAGTATTACTGCAGGCCAGCAGAGGGGAGAACTAAGAACCCCTCCAACATTTCCCCAGAGACTAACCACACCCCGCCGGCTCTTCCCGCAGTGCGGCCATGCTGAAGATTGCTGAGATGGAGTACAGTGGGGCAAACAGCATCTTCCTGCGACTGCTGTTGGATAAGAAGTACGCACTGCCCTACCGCGTGCTGGATGCACTTGTCTTCCACTTCCTGGGCTTCCGGACAGAGAAACGTGAGCTGCCCGTGCTCTGGCACCAGTGCCTGCTCACACTGGTCCAGCGCTACAAGGCTGACTTAGCCACAGATCAGAAAGATGCCCTACTGGAACTGCTCCGTCTACAACCCCATCCACAGCTGTCCCTCGAGATCAGACGAGAGCTTCAGAGCGCAGTCCCTCGTGATGTGGAAGATGTCCCCATCGCCATGGATTAAAGAAAGCAGTCCTTATGTCCCTGGGCATGGGGGAGCACCAGGACTCCTGCAGGTGACTAAAGGTCACGCTGAAGACCAGGGCAGTGACAGGTCACAGGGGCACACAGTGCCAGGCCAGGGCAGAGAGGCCTGAGGGTCTTGTCTGGCTCCCTTCTCCATTCTGCTCCCTTCAGAGCTGCTGAGATGAACGGAGCAGCATTCCTACTCTCTGCTCTCCTGGCAGCTCAGGGACTTGGTTCACTGGGATGTGGGTGAAAAAAAAGGAAGGTATTTATTGAATGTGTGTCCTGCTGCAGTTGATGGGTCTTTGTGCTTCTTTGTAGCTGGAGGGGTCACTCCACTTCCCTCAGGAAGTGGGTTTTGTCTCAGGACTGGGTTTTGGCCGTTTACACAACAGCCCACCTCAACCCCAAAGCCTGCTTCTCCGGGCTGCATTCCTCCTGTCATCCCCCAGGGGGCCATTCTCTGCTTTCTCCTCCCAAGACACAGGCTCTTTGAGTAGGACACCCACAGTTGGTAGTGATGGCTGGGCTGTGGATGAGAGAGGACAACAGTGCAGAGGAAAGACAGATCCATAGATAACGTAGGGTCGGCCCCAAACAGGTCCCCTTCCTAGACTTCTGACCAATGAAAGCTTTAGACTAGAATTGGGCATTGTGATACCAGCATCCCATACTGGAGTAGTCCCATTCGAGTCCCAGCTATTCTACTTCCAGTCCAGCTCCCAGTTAATGCACTGGAAAGGCAGCGGAAAGTGGCCTGAGTGCCTGAGCCTCTGCCACGAGCATGGGAGACCTAGACAGAATTCCAGGCTCCTAGTTCCAGCCTGGCCCAGACCTGGCTGTTACACCCACCCTTCCAGTGGGTGGAAGGAAGATCTGCCTCTACCTCTCTGATGCTCCACCTTTCACATCATAACAACAACAATGAACATTTGACTAGTGGTTAGCAAATTTGGGCCAAATTGCATGTTCTTGTATAGCTTATGGCCTAGTAAGAATATATGTGGTTTTGAATCACTGGTGTGTTGGGGGGATTTATGGAGCATTTTGACAGGTAAGAATTAGGTGAGGTTCAGCTATGTCTGTTTTATTGGAACCCAGCACAGTATTCAGTATTCTGTATTCTTGTGACTGGCCTTCTACCCCCAAAACAGTTACTTTCATCCTAAACCTTGGTTACTGGGTTTTAAAAAGGGTTGTTTTTTTTTTTTTTTTTTCAACTCAATTAATATAGTGAAAAGCAATCTGATTGTAATGCAGACTTTCTCAATTTTCTGCTGATTTCCTTTTTATTTGTTTTCCTCCTGATCTAAGGGCAGACAGACAGGGATCTTCTGTTCACTGGTGTTCCCCATAAATAACCGCAACAGCCAGGGGAAGGCCTGACCAAAAACTGGGAACCGGGGGGCTCCATCCAGGTCTCCCGTGTGGGCAACAGGACCCAAGAACTACTGCCTTCGAGGGTGCGTTAGCAAGCAGGAAGCTGAATTGAACACAGTGACTATTATCAAACCAGACACTGACACGGAGTGCTGGTATTATAAGAACTGCACACCTGCCCCAGTAATGTAGCTGTTATGTGCTTTGGTACAAGTCCATTGAGAATTACAAAGTAAATGCAGGAAATTGCATGCAGTGGAGCCAAGCAGAAGTACAGAACACATCTCCAGTGTCCTTGCCAGCCCAGTCCATCTCCTGTGTTGGGTGCCACACCCACCTTCACCTGAGATGAAGACCTTGCCACTGCATACCACAGGAGCAGCAGTTCCCAGCCAATGAACCTGGGAATATCGTGCAGGACAGTCTGATGTTTGGCCTACCACTCAATGTGGGAGGAAACCTCAGACTTCAGCCTCACCCAACCCCAGCAATCATGGCTGGAGTAAACTAGCAGAAGACTTATCGATCTCTCTCTCTCATTTAACTCTGCCTCCCTTCCCCCTTAACTGATCCAGTCCCGAGAGTCTATGGCTGAGCCAAACTAATGCCAGGAGTTTCTTCCAGGTCTCCCACACAGGTGTAGGGGCCCCAGCACTTGGGCTATCTTACCCTGCTCTCCCAGGCACATTAGCAGGGAGCTGCATGGAAAGCAGAGCAGGACTGCAGGAGATGGGGACCCTGCAGGAGGTCACACCATGCCTGCTTTTCACATGAAGCTTTTGGGGGTTGTGGGAAAGCAGGCTGCTATCTTACTGACAGCTACGGTCACAGCTGGACTGCAGGTCTCCTGATGTAGGGTTACACTGCAGCGTTGGCACTTGGCAGTGTTTGAGCAGCTCGGCTCCCTGCTGGGTCACTGCTCCACGGAGGGCAGGAGCCCAAGTACTTGGGCCATGATTTGCTGGCTTCCTGGGGGCCATTAGCAGAGAGCTGGATCAGACCAGCAGCTAGGACTTGAATCAGCACTCCAGCGTGCTGGAGTGGCAGCACAACATGCACCCCAAGGTGTTGGGTGATGCCTCAAACCCCTTCTTCCTCTAGAAGCCTTGTGAGATTTTGTTTTGCATACCTTAGCAATTTTGAGGGACAAAGCAGAAACAACTGTGCTTGGGGCACACACTGGAGTGCGAAAGCCTAAATGTTTGCTGTGCATCCTTGGATAGGAAAGGCTTACTGATGGAAGCTGCTTTGCACAGATGTGCCTCTTTCTTCACTTTACGCAGTCCAGAAATAACCCTTAACCCACAACAGTCCAAGAGGCCAATGCCAGCTTTATTCCAGAATCTTTTATTAAGGTAGCATGATGGTCCTGGGCCACCAGTCTAATAAACCTTGTGGCCTTAGGAAAGACCTGTGTCAACAGGGCTTGCCTCCCTCTCCAGATGGGGCTCAGCCACCTCCAGGGCATCTCTGCTTCCTCCTCCCGGCCAGAGGATGGAGCAGGAGGGCCCAAGGGAGAGGAGGACATGGCCCCAAACCCAGGCTGTAGCAGCTCCTGGGCCACAAAGCTCTCTAGCCAGTATCAGAGGGGAGGCAAACAGCAACCACTAGAGTCACCCACTTGGGGCGGGGGGCGTGGGCCCCATGGCACCCTCTTACAGTTGTACTCAAAACAATTAATAAATTAAAACAACCTGTTCCTTCAGCACCGAACCCCTCAACCCCACAAGAGAAGCTGAGCGGAAGCAAAGCAGGAGGTGCTCCCTCTAGGAGCAGCAGAGAGCATGGGTTACAGAGGCCTCCATATGCTGGGAGGGACTGGCGACTGTTGCCCCTTAGTCTGTCAGAATGCCCAAAGGACCCCAAATCCAAATGCAGTAACCCTAGAAGGGGTAACACCTTTGTAAGGCACAGAGGCATTTTTCTCTCGTTTTTTGTTTTTTTTTTTTGTTTTTAGCTTTTTTTTTTTTTGGCAGTTGAGAACACAAGCTCCCCCTGGGAAGATGGGCCTCGGAGTAGAGGGCTGGTGCAGAGCTTTACTTGTTTGGATGTCTGAGCAGCCTAGCCCTGGCTGAAGTCAGGAACGGAGCTGAGCTGCTCAGACCTGGAGGGGAGGAGGGGCCGACCAGCTGCCCAGATGCACATGGCCGGTCAGGCCCCTTAGTGCACACTGCGGGGAGAGGCGGGGCCTGACCCCTTGGGCTTGATAATGTGGGGAGTGGAATGGGAGCCCCCTCGGGCTTCCGATATGGCATGGATCGTTCCTGGAGGCAGGGAGGGGGGTGGCAGTGGCAGTGGCCCCTACCCTGCTTGGTGGCCACTTGAGGGGGCCTGTCCAGGGCTACAGATGGATGGCAGTGACATCTGTGGGAGTGCTGGTCTGGCTGGGCCCCTGGCTGCTGGAGCCCCGTGGGGCTTTGGGCGGTGGGTTTGGAGTGGTCTGCGAAGCTTCTCTGAGGCTCTCCCTGAGCGCAGCTTCAATCTGCTCCTGGCAGGCCCTCAGGCAGTCCTGGAGAGAGGAAGAGGAGGGATGGTGAGGAGGGCCCACCCTGCCCCAGCATCTGGAGGCAGGTGCAAGGAAAGGACACCTCAGCAGGGAAGTTGGGAGGGCAGGCCACAGCCCAGCCCCAGGAATCGGTCTTCATTTCTCAGAAACCAGCAAGAGGATGTGGCAAGAGGGTGTGAGAGCAGCCCTGCATCTGATATCAGACCCCCACCCCTGCTCCAGCTCACTTGGCAAGAAAAGGGCACCCAGAACAGTGCACTTCACCCCACCTAAGAATGTCTTCTCCACATCCAGCAAGCCCCCAAGCCACAGAGAATAAGACCAGGAAGCTGAGTCCGGGTTGGGGGTAGATGCCTCCCTCTGCTGGAGGCTTAGGGAATAGCATAGTCCCATGCCTACAGAGCCCGCAGCCCAACTGCCCAGCACTCACCACTTCAGTGCCTGTGATCCCCGCCAGCAGTTCGGTGAGCTCATCCCCGGATGTGGAGCAGGCACCCAGGCCTTGCACTGCGGCCCCAATGCTGCCAGTTGCGATCATGGATGGCGGGTACATGGCAAACGTGTAATCTTGCAAAGCAGGAGAGAAAACCAGTGAAGACAAGGCAACCTCAACAGGGAGGGGCACAGGGCAACCAGGGCTGACTTCCTGTTAGTGCCAGGCAGAGCAGACTAGAGCAGGGGGCTCACTGCAGACCCCAGAGTTGCTTGGGGAAGACACTGGCCATGGAAGGAGGCAGGAGAGGGCTTCTAGGAAGGACCGGGATAGTCCTGGCCAAGGACAAGGACATTGAGGAGACACTCCCTGCTACAGACACTGGGGCAGGAGACCCAGGTTCTGCTCCCAACTTCCTCACTCTGAGGCCCTGGAAGTCCCTTCTTCACCTGGGGTGTAGGGGGTGGGAGAGAGGTGTCTGAGATCCCATGCAGTTCTGCTTTTCTATACTGAGACTAGAGGACTCGCTCGGGGGAGGACAGTCATGTTCATACGTGGTTTTTGACAGGGGTGCTCACTGGGGTCTCTAGTTAGCCCTCACCTTTTCAGACCTCGTGGTTTTTCCCTGATATGGCCAGTCGGTGTGTGGGGGCTCTTACCTGTAGCACAGAGGGCCAGAAAGGTCTGCGCATGCTTCTTGACCAAGGCCAGACGGTCGCTGGGCAGAGAAAGCCGATGCAGAATCAGGGCCAGGAAGTCGTGTGCCACCACGGCAGCCAGGTCCCACTTGAGCTTTCCAAGCACCAGTGCCTCCCAGTCCTGGAAGGTAGGAAAAGAGGGTGGGTTAGCTGGGGAGCAGAGCAGCCCATGAAATTACCCCCAAAAGTCCCAGACTTCAGTTTGCTGCATTGTGCTTGGGCCCCTTTTTGATCCCATGATGTCCACTGAGCAAGCCTTCTCATGACTTCACTCAAGACCCTGAGCCATTTCCCAACCAGGATGCAGAGACTAAACAGCAGCCAGCACCAGCATTACCCTGAACTTGCATTCCCTGGGGGAAAAGCACCAGGGTTTTCCTAAGGGCAGATCACCTCCCCCACCTTCCATACCTCTGCATCCTAGCCTGGTCAGCAGGAGCAAGCTCCAGGCCACTCCTGTGACACACCCCCCTGAGCCTCTTCTGAGGTTCCTCAAAGGGGACAGGGGACATTGCCCAACCCAACCACATCCCCTTGGTGGGACCTCAGGGGTGCGTTCTAGGCCAGAGCACCCCACCTCCACTCCCTTGAACTGGAACCCATGCTGTGCAGCTCTTGAGGCAGGTCAGGTCAGACAGGATGAACTCAAATGACCTCTGAGAGCTCAGACCCTCTCCCCACCTGCCCAAGCCAATGCGTGCTACTGAGGGCTGCTGTTAGCCTCCACCCCAAGCCGCTCGGCAGGGGTTCCCAGAGCCAGCCCTGTTTCTTTGAGTCGCACCCATGAGGATTTCTTCATTGTTTTATCGCAGGAAGGAACTGGTGGGTTTGATTCCTTACCAGGAGGCAGAAATGGCAGCCCCACCCAGCCTCATCCAGGCCCTGGTCACAGCCGTGGCCCCGCTGGCCAACACTTAGGTGCCAGCCTCAAGTTAGTGCCACAGCAAACAGCCTGGGCCACAGCCAGAAGAAGCGGGAGGCAAAGAAACCACAATTTTATTCCCGAGTGCTCATCCTAAGAGAGCTCAGCTCCTAGCCCAGGAGCAAACCGGAAGCCCCAAGGAAACATCCGGCAGGCAATGGGGAGAGGAGCCCTCCCTGTGGCGAGACATGAGGTCCTATGTGAGTGAAGGTGGCCACCCTCCCCTGTCTCCAGGCAACCCCCGAGAATCCCAGGCCTACTTGGCAGAGAACATGTGCCCCTGGGAGCGATTAGCTGCAGCCGCTGGACTGGCGGCATGGAGGTGGTGGGGGACGGGACGGCAAAGTCCCTGGCTTGAGGAAGGTTTAGCACACATTGACCAATTGGGGTGGGTGGGTGGGTAGAGACCCTCCCTCCTTTGCCCCAGCCCCAACCCTCTCTGCTACAGAAAAATCTGGGACTGACTGGAGTTCTCCGAGGCCCCTTCCAGGAACACATGCTCCACCCCCAGCTCAGGCACACTGAGCACTTTTGGCTTATTCTTAAAAAAAAGGAAAAAAAAAAAAAAACCACGGACATCTCGTACACAGGCAAGTTCCCAAAGAAGCCAGGCAGTCTCCTTCTATCTATCCAGCCACAAACCCCTGGAAAAAACATCTTGCACCCCTGGCTCTGGTAACCAGCTCCACCTTTCAGCGTGGCCAGAAACAAGCAGATTCATCACAAAGAGCCGTGGGGCCTCCCGGACTCCCAAGCCTGGCCTCCTGCTCCCAGCCCTGAGAGCTACTTGGCAGGAAGAGGAATCCAGTTCCCCAGCTCGCAGCAGCAGCAGCAGCAGCAACAGCAGTCAGGGGGCCCCAGTACCCTTGCTGCCCCGCTAGCCAATCACAGCAGCCTGCCGGCTTGCCCTCCTCCCCGAGAGATGGGGCCTAGAGACGCGTCTCAGGGTCAGTAGAAGACTTGGCTGGCCACGGAGCAAGGTGCCAGCTCCCCCAGCAGCTCCCCCAGCCCCCTTAGGAGATGAGCTGCAGGCCCTAAAATAACCTCTTCCAGATTCAAGAGGCCCCCCCCAACCATCCTCCCCTTGCTCAGGCTCCTGATGACCAGCAACAGGGGGATGGGGGAGTGCGGGGGGGGGGGGGGCTGGAGAGCCACTTCCCAAACCACACCGAGTGACAGCAGCTCCCCACAGGGTTATGAAAGACCTTGGTCAGAGGGGGCGGGCCAGGGGGGAGGGGGCATCATTATCACATGGGAAGCAGCTGCAGCTCAGCTCCCTGCCTTGTCCCTGGGCTAGGGCCTTTGGCTAAGGGGGAAAAGCAGAGGGAGAGAGAGGGAGAGTGTTTCCACCAGGCCCAACAGCAGCTGCTCCAGTTCCTCAGAATGAGCACAAGGAAGGGAGGGGTAGGCAGGGAGCTGTGTCTGGGGAGGGAAGGGCAGGGGGGCAGCTGCGGAAACCCAAGGGGCAGGAAAGAAGGTGGGAAGAACACCTCTTCGGAGCAATCAGGGCCTGGCTTTAATCTGCTCCAGGAGGCTTTTCTATCACAAAGTCCACACGAGGGGAAGGGGAAAAAAAAAAAAACACCTCACTGCAGGCAGCCCCCTCCCCCACACGAGGCACATTCCACACCCCCCACTCCAGTGGGGGTGTGCAGGCATGCCCTGCCGTTGCCAATAAATAACTCATGGTGGCTGTGTAAAGCCAGAGGCAAAGTACTCCCTCAGTGTAGACATGCGGTTCGACTTGTTGCTATCTGGGGGAAAGACCAGGAAGGAGTGGCACCCCCTGGAGGCCAGGCCCGAACCTGGGCAGAAATGCCACTGACCACCGCCCCAGTGCCTCACATGCCCTCATCGTATGTTGTTGTTGTTCCTACAACCTCCCCGCGGGCGGCGTGTGTGTGTTCCTTTTTGCAAAAGGTCCCTTCTTTTCCCCAGGTTGGAGGGAGTAGCTGGAGGTCCTCTGGAGTCTTTCTTTCCCACTCCCGCCCCCACTCCCAGAAAGTGGAAAAGGCAGTCGGCTTTTTGGAACGGGCAGATGGAGAGTTTTACACACGCACCCGCAGCTGGCGGGGGGAGACGGCGTGGTCGGTGTAGATGCACAGTTTTTCGATGGTCAGGGGTGTGGTCTCGCGCAGCTTGGAGGCCAACAGCATGCAGACCGCACCCAGGAGCTGCAACTGCGCCTTTCGGGTGGGGACGCAGGACAGGTAGCGATCCAGGTAGTTCATGGCCAGGGGAAAGACTTCCTCCTCGCAGCGCTGCTCCTCGCACACCTGGCGGAGCACGAATTGTCACCGACGAGTGAGAGGGAGGAGGCAGAGTGCAGGAGTATGGGAAACACAGCGGCAGGAAGAGGCTGGGTGGGGTGGGGGCGCCTAAGAGAAGTGGAATGGGGCGCAGGGCCAGGAGAGAGGGTGAGCAGCCTAGAGTGACAAGGACCAGTAACGGAGGAGGATGCGTCCTCCCCACGGTGACGCCCCCAACCTCCATATCCTCTGCGTCGTCCCCTCCTTTCTCATCTGGAAGTTGTGTGTGTGTGGGGGGGGGGGGGGTGGCAAAGCCCAGGCGCCCTCCCTTGCGAGGAATCCCAAACAGTGATTCCCCCTCCCCCACAGCGGGGGGGGGGGTGCATGCAGGAAGGGTCGCCCGCAGCGGCCCGAGAGGAGAAGCCTGGCCCCAATTACCGCCACCCACCGCGCACGCCCAAGGGGAAGGAAGGAGATTCCAGCCGCCGCCTTCTCTCCCGCACTTTTCATTTCCCCGTCGGCCAGAACAGGGCGCACCACCCCACCCCCCAGCCAGCACCCCGCGACACACGCAGGAACCGAGAAGACCGGGCGGGGTGTGGGGCGAGCAGGGGCCGCGGAAGGGGCCGGGCGCGTGGCTCTGGTGCCACCGCGCCGGCCCATAGAGAGGCTCGGTCAGGGGTGCCCACAAGCGGCCGTCCAAGTCGGAAAGAGCGTTTATCAGGGTTGGGGGGAAGGGTGGGGGGACGGGGACACCCCGGAGAGAGCCAGAAAGGCCAGGCCCCGAAAAGGGGGGGAGGGGGACCGGTGTCGTGGCCGCCGGGGCATCTTGCAGAGCGGTGTTGGGGAACATGCCGTCCCGATCTGGGTTGGGGATGTAGCTCCAGAGTCGGGGGTCGAGGTGGGGGGTGACGGGGTAGAAGGGTGGGCATCCGGGCGGTACCTCCAGCATCCAGTACGCCAGCATCTTCCTCATGTGCGGCTTGATCTCCCTCTGCACGCACTGGAAGTAGGAGGCTCGGGGCACGTAACGCTCTTCCAGGCGGAGCAAACTCTGCAGGACACGCTGGTCCCCCAGCAGCCGCGGGTCGGGCCCGGCCCGGGGCGCATGCCAGCTACCCTCGCAGCAGAGCAACTCCATCTTCGGGCAGAAGCGACGCGGCGGGGAGTGCGAAGTCGCGCAGTCGGGACGCGGGGCCGGCGGGCCGGAGAGCGTGGCGCGGCGCGCGGGTCTGGCGCTGGCGCTGGCGAGGCGCTGGCACTGAGCGCTGCAGCCCCGGCCCGCCCGCCGCCCGCGCGCGCCGCTTCCCTGACAGGCGCCCCGCCCCTCGCGACGATGTAGCAACCGTGGAATGCTCGGACGTCGCTACGTTCCAGAAGGCGGAGCCACCGGCCCCCCAGACGGAAAGGGCTGGCAAGGCTCTCTTTCCCCTCCCTCGGAGCGGCCCCATTGGCTTGCCCCGCACAGGCCGGCCGGCTTCCGGGCACCAGCCCTCCCGACCCCCGGGTGGAGTGCACTTTTCTGGGAGTTGGGCCTCTTTCTCCAGCCATGGGGCCTTCCCAGTTTGCTTCTCGGAGCCTGCTCACACGATAAAGAACTTTCTTTCCTTTTTGCAAACGGAGATTCATTCAATCATTCGTCAGACACCCCCTCCCCCCACTTCAACAGCTGCTTGCTCCACGCTCTACGGAATGAAAGAGTGGTTTTTAATGCATGCTGTTGGAATCACTGTATGTGAGATAACTTAATGCCTTTTTTAAGGATCTGTTTCTTTGAATGGCTGAGTTTACAGGGAGAGAGGGATTTTCCCATCTGCCTCTTCATTCCCCAAATGGCCGCAAACACTGAGGCTGGACCAGGCCGAGGCCTGGAACTCCCGCGTTGGTTCCCCCACGTGAGTGGCAGCGCCCCAGGGCCTCGGTCATCTTCTACAGTTTTCCCAGGCGCATCAGCAGGGAGCACATTCAGAACCAGTGCAGCCAGGACTTGGAAGCACCAGCCGCCAGGAACTTACCAAATCTTAACTAAAATTCCATCAGTTAGGCATTATGCTTATTTCTAGATGAGCAAACTGAGGGACAGCCCTGTGACAGTCAGCCAGAACTGGAAAGCAGGCCATTCGTGCTGTCCACCACTGCTCCTTACACTGCGGTGGCAGGCACGCACCGCCAGCAGCATCCCCGGGAGCAGGTGAGACTTTCTCAGGCTCAGCATTCACCTGCCACAGAAGAAGCGGTGTGTCGTCCGCATTCCTGTGCACTTCAGAGTTAGAAAAGCTGCTTTGGTCCAAACCAGCTTATTACGGAAATGCAACAGGGTGGACAGGCCAGGAACTCAAGGCCCCGCCTTGCCATGAAATCCACTGTGTGGCCTCAGTTTCTGCAAAGAGAAGAGCGAGAGGGAGGGAAGGAGAAGCCACCTCTTTTCTAAAAGAGCTGACCTAGCAGACTGTGAAGTCTACCACTTGCCGTTGCTGTTGCAGAACTGTTCTATTTTTTTAAAAAGATTTATTTATTTATTTGTATTGGAAAGGCAGATGTACAGAGAGGAAAACCCTCCGTCTAATGATTCACTCCCCAAGTGACGGCCAAGCAACCAGCACTGCACCGATCCGAAGCCAGGAGTCAGGAACTTCCCAGGCCACAAGCAGGGGGGAGCTGGATGGGAAGTGGAGCCTCCGGGATTAGAACTGGCCCAAATGGAATCCTGGCACATTCAAAGCAAGAACCTTAACCACTACGCTGTCATGCTGGACCCAGAACTGTTCTAAATGGGAGAAGGTTTTAGCATCCTCCTAGCTTAGGAGCCACCAAGGAGATGAGTAACCACCAGAGAGATGACAGTGTGGGGAGCGGACCTGTGTTCTCTGCTAGTCATTTCCTCTATGAACTGTTCTTTTTTCATCAAATACATTTTTTAAGGATTTACTAATTTTTATTGGAAAATCAGATACACAAAGGGAGAGAGGAACATTTTCTGTCCACTGGTTCACCCCCCAAGTGGCTGCAGAGGTCAGAGCCCAGTCAATCCCAAGCCAGGAGCCAAGAGCCTCCTCTGGGTCTCCTATGTGGGTGCAGGGTCCCAAAACTTTGGCCATCCTCGACTGCTTTCCCAGGCCACAAACATGGAGCTAGATGAGAAACAGAGTGGCCAGGACACAAACCGGCACCCATATGGGTTCCCCGTGCATGCAAGGCAAGGATTTCAGCCACTAGGCTGCCATGCCAGTTCCCATCAAATACATTTTCTTGTATTTTTTATAACACAGAAATATTCTTTTGCATTATGGAAACTTAGGGAACATAGATAGGCCCAAAAAAAGGGGAAATCATAATCATTTGCACTTTCATCATTCAGATATAACCTTTTAAAATATCAGTTTATTTTTCTAATCTTTGCTCAGTGAATAAACACATATTTTTTAATGGACTCACCACAAACTTTTTGACAAGTTTTCACTCACGACATATATTAAGAACAATTTTCTACATCATTAAAGATTCTGCAACTTAAAAAAGATTTCTTTATCTGAAACTCAGAGTTAGAGAGAGACAGAGAACGAGAGTTCATTTTCTGGTTCACTCCCCAAATGGCTGCAGACAACCAAAGCCAGAAGCCAAGAGCTTCTTCCAGATTTCCCACATGGTGGCAGGCCCAGGTAACAGGGAGCTGGATCAGAAGTGGACAAGCCTGGACTCAAACCAGCGATCATATGGGATGCTAGCACTGCAAGCGACAGCTTAACATGCTGTGCCCCTAAGTATTTAAGACATTACAATGGTCATTTAGGACAGTACTAAGTGAATATATCATAGTAGGTTGTACCAAACCAGTGTCCTAGTTCTGCTCAATTAGAAACAATGCTGTGAAACATTCTTGTGGTATTAGCTTTGTGCATACTCATGACTATTTCTAGAAGTGAATTAATTTCTAGAAGTGAAATTTCTCAACTTGAAGTTAGGAAACATGTTAAGGCTTTTGATACAATTCTTATTACAAAATCCCCCTGCTGAAAGACTTAAACCAATCTACTCCACCAACGCTAGATTTCTGTTTTTTAAAAAACGATTGCACCAACTGCAGGGATTAAAAGTGGCTTATTAGTAATAAAACATCTATTTTGGCACATTATTAGACATTTGCATTTCTTATGTAAATAACTTACTCATGCCTTTTGCTCATTCTTGCATGTTTTTGTTATTGATTTAAAAGTGTTCATTACATTTTAAGGATGTTACCTTTTTCATGTTGTTTTCTCTGCCATGTATTTTGCAAAAAAAATTTCAGTTCACTGTTTGACTTTCACTTGGGGCTCATGGTGAACTTTTTAAGTTTTACAAATAAAAGTTGTTCTAGTTATTTTAAATAGAAGAGTTTTTTTTTTTTTTCTTTTTCTCCTTTTTTCAAAGTTTTCTCTGAATGTCCTTGTTAGACATTCAACACATTTTGGATTTATAGATGACAAAGTATTTCTGTTTGTTTGAAAGACACAGAGAACTCTGATCTGCCAGTTACTCCCCAGATACTCCCCAGGGTTGGACCAGGCCAGAGCCAGGAGGGTGGAACCCAACCCAGATAGCCCATGTGGCAGAGGTCCAACCAACCTGAGCCATCATCTGTTGCCACCCAAGGGACTGGAACGGGCAGCTGGAGCCAGACCTCAAACACAGGCACAGGAAAGGAGTGACAACTGCAGGGTCAAGTGCCCGCCCCCATAAGGTTTATATATTTTGTAGCCTTATTCACCAGTATTTTCTTTCATGATTTTTGTTTTTCAGTAATGCCTTTCCTATCTTAAAATCATAAAAGTGCTAGAAAAAATATAAGGAATATCTAAAGATGAGTTTTTAATCTTTCAGAGAGCTTGTTGAAATTGCACACTGCAGGCCGAGCATGGTGGCCTAGTGGCTAAAGTCCTCGCCAGGATTCCATGTGGGTGCCAGTTTGTGTTCCGGCTGCTCCACTTCCCTTCCAGCTCCCTGCTTGTGACCTGGGAAAGCAGTCAAGAACGACCCAAAGCCTTGGGACCTTGTGCCCATGTCAGAGACCCTGAGGAAGCTCCAGGCTCTTGGCTTCAGATGGGCTCAGCTCTGGCCATTGCAGCCACTTGGGGAGTGAGCCAGAGGATAAAGGATCTTTTACTCTGTCACTCTTCTCCACAAATCTGCCTTTTCAATTAAAAAATAAATCTTCAATAATAATGATAATAAATTGCAGATTGCAGGGGCACCATGGTGTAGTGGGCAAAGCCTCTGCCTACAGTGCCAGCATCTCATACAGGTGCCAGTTTGAATCTCGGCTCTATCCCGCTTCCAATTCAACTCCTTTAGTAATGCATGCTGGAAAGCAATGGAAGCTGGCCTGAGCCCTTAGGCCCCAGTATCTATGGGGGAGACCTGGAAGAAGCTCCTGGCTTTGTATAGGCTCCGCTCTTGCCATTGTGGCCACTTAAGGACTGAACCAGCAGATGGAATACCTTTGTCTCTCCTTCTCTCTGTAAATCTGCCTTTAAATTTAATTTTAAAGAAAAAAATCTTAAAAAAAAATAATTTTTTTGAGTGTAAAAAGAAACTGTGGCAAATTAGAAAATGGCTGGTGGTGGGATGTCACGAGGTTAGAGAAAGGATGGTCATGCTTTCTTCCCCTTCCTCCCTTCACCTGTGGTTCACCCGTGGGAAGTCTGCATCGGACAGTGACCAAGGCACACAAGGTGACAGATGAGGGCCACAAGGTAAGGCTCAGGGGCTCTCCTGCAGACCCCTTGAGAAGATGGGTGGAGTCATGCCGCCCTGGGGCTGGGTGAGCCTTGCACAGGGAGACAGATAAACCCTGAGGTCAGGATGCTTCTGTTACAGACCTGGCTCTGGGACATGTGACTCCTGGGGAATTGCTGTTACCCCTTCTGTCTGCGTCCTCATTTGTGCAGGGGTCGGGGGGGTGGTCTCTGAAGTCCAAGTGGGCAGAAAGTGTCTTGCAACTTGCCTGATGCAAAGCCAAAGGCTCCAGAAAGGACAGTGCTTGAATATCGACTCCTGCTTTCTCTCTCTCTGCACTTGTATGCAGCATCCTCTTCTGCAAATGGGAAAAGTTGAAGCAGCAAGAGCCCCGCCATTGGAAGACAGCTGTGGTAAACTTCGGCAACCCAGCTCATGGTGCGTGGAGGATGCTCCAGGGCCGAAGGCCACCTGCGCTGCCGCTCTGCCCTCACTGGCTATGTGACTTCAGAAAAGGCACACGACCTCTCTGTGTCTGTGTCCTTTGCTAAGACAACAATTTTAGTGCCTCTCCTACATAGGTACTGCTTGTGAGGAGAAACGGTTAATTTGCTTCTGTTATTTATTTTGTCCCTGGGTTTCAAGTGACAAAGGGACAGACAGAGAAGGAGAGAGAGATCTTTCATTCCCTGGTTCACTCCCCAAAGGATCTCCACAGCTCAGGCTGGGTCAGGCTGGGCCAGGCTGGGCCAGGCTGGGCCACGCTGGGCCACGCTGGGCCACGCTGGGCCACGCTGGAGCCAGGAGCCAGGAGCTCCACCTGGAGCTCCCATGTGGATGTGTGTCATGTTTCACTGCCTTCCCAGGTGCATTAGCAGGGAGCTGGATCAGATATGAGATGCTGGTACAGCAGTTGGTAGCTTAACCGGCTATACCACATGCTGGACCCAAAATAGTTTTTATAAAACATATAGTGTTGTTGCCTGGTCTGGGAGACCCTCTTCTTAACCATTTCTGAGACAATTTACCAGACATTCTCTATCACCTGCACCCATGTGGGAGACTCAGAAGAAGCTCCTGGTTCCTGGCTTCAGATGGGCTCAGCTCCAGCCATTGTGGCCATTTGGGAAGTGAACCAGTGGAAGAATGATCTTTCTCTCTGTTATCTCCTCTATAAATATGTCCTCCCAATAAAAATAAATAAATCTTTAAAAAGGAAAGAAAATTCAAATACAGCCTATGTATCCCAATACACTGATTTTCTCTCCCTCTTTCTGGTTATCTGGATTCTGAGGAGGCTTTCCAGCCCTGTCACTGTGTTTGAGATTCCTGGTCCACAGGTAAGGAGCGGGTGAGTAGCAGGGCCAGCAGGTGAGTACCAGGGAAATCAGCTGGCCGCGGGAAGCACTCCTCGTTCTAGGCGTGGGTCACCTGAGTGAGCTCTGGAGTTTGGCCAGTGTCTTCAGGACTGCATTGCAGCACAGCAGGTAAAGTCACAGCCTAGGACATGTACATTCTATATGGGTGCTCATTTATGTCCTGGCTGTTCCACTGCCACTTCAACTCTCTGCTAATGTGCGTGAGAAAAGCAGCAAATGATGGTCTGAGTACTTGGGTCCCTGACTCCCATGTGGGAGACCCAGATGAAACTCCTAGTTCCTGGCTTCAGCCTGGCCCTGCACTGAACATTGCAACTATCTAGGGAGGGAACCAGCAAAAGGAAGATTTCTCCTCTCTCTCCCTCTCTGCGTAATTCTTTCAAATAATCTTAAAAACAAAACAAAAAAAACCAACCAACCAACCTCCTCCAGTCACCTAACATAGA